AAAACGAAAAACAACAAATTATAGTCACTGCTGAATTTTTGTTAACTGAGGCCTACTACATAGCAAAATTGTTATTTTCTGTGTTATCGACCGTATGACGTCAAATAATTTTCCTAGAACCATCTTCTACAAAGTAATATAATTTAAATAAGAAATACAATTTCTTTGAATATAATCATGCGCCATTTAGCTATAATTTGTTTCTATTGTTCTGAAAGGCTGGCTGGTTGTTATAGTTATTAGCGATACATAAAAATATTAGATCGAGTAAAAGAAATTAACAGAGTCGGTTGAAGTTCGAAAAATTTTATACTGTGCGGTTATCATTCCTTCTTAATGCTAAAAAGGAACAAAACGACATTCGTAATAGCAAACGTTAGTGAATTATTTATCATTCCGCAGCCAGCACAGCAATCGAAGCAAATGATTCGACTAGAAATGACTTATGAGAACACTATTCTAAGTAAATATTCCTGTTTAATATGATGTTTTGTAAAAAGATGGTACTAAAAAAATAATTTGATGAAACACTGGAGATTACAAAAAGAAAAACTCAGTGGGTATTATGAGGATAATGGTGTAAATAATAACAGAGGTTGTGAGTGAATTTTCGATCTTTTTTAGATTCCGTTAATTCGATATACTATAAAATAATACGAAAATTAAAATTATTATTATTATTATTATTATTATTATTATTATCATTATTATAAAACACATGTTTTCGGAAATGAATGAACGTTTTACAACCTATTACACTTGTAACGGACTCATGTTCCAATGAATGAGGGAAAATTTACATTCCCTTTCACTTCAATTGTTGCACGTTGTCATGTTGCAATTGTCTCGTTTACATTCCTCCGGTGTTTAATAATAGAATATTGTAGTTCGCGTTGTTTCCGAATGCGCCTGAGGAGTGATACCACGAAGCGAGTCGTCGCGAAGCACCCGCTTCTTGCAGCAGGCGGCGCGGCGCGGTGTTTGTGTGTCGCGTCGCATGTCCTCTTCCCGACCGCATGTCCCGGAGGAGGACGCGCTGACACGTGTGCGACCCCGCAACCGCGGCGCGCGGCCCTCCGCCTCCTCTCATACCCCCTACTCGCGCCTCCTCTCCCACCTCCCGGCTTCTTCTCACCTTCGTACCTGCCCTGCCCGCCCGCTCTGCCCCCATCGGCACCCTACACCACAGTCATCTCCACACGCGATCCGACCTCCACTTCACCCACTGACGCGTCGAATAAGGACAGTAGTTTTCCGTGGGTTCTCTGATCAATACCAGGCGAATGCCGGAGCAGTACCCTAACAAACGGGCCACGGACCGTATGCGATCTATCCTACCCCTTTCTTGTCCTATCCTCGCCCCTTACACACACAATTACACACTAACATGCACCATACAACCACACATGCCGAGAGAGCGGTCGGGAGCTTAGAGCTTGTCCCCGCTGGTGGGAGATACCTGGTTAAGGGAAATCCCATTAGCCGAGGGTAGGTCAGCGCCAGATCTCATCATCCAGCGGGAGAGGATCACCGCCACCTCTCAAGGAAAGCACACGCACTAGATTTACGGGACCAATGACCTTAAACTTTGATGTACCAGGAATCATTAATCAATCAAGCACTAGATTGAATAAGGGTTGTTTAGTTATAAACTAGTCTTGAAATCAAGAACTTATTTGGGGAGAACATATTTTTGATTAAAGGGGAAGAATTTGTACAAGCGCAATCTCTAAACTAGTAGTTCTGCAGAATGACAGACTTTCCCGTATTAGTTTTCTATTTCCTTTGGTTTGGGCTAGCTATTATGAATAAACCTCTTCCAGCTGCCATCTATCGCCGTTCAAAGTACATTTTTTTTAAAAAAATCTTATTTTTCGGCTTCCTAATAGTAGATTTGAATAATTACTTTACAAATATTAAAGAACAGTAAACTCTCATCTAAATGGCAATTTTCATTGAAAATCTTGGTGCTCTTTTTAAGAAAATCACATTTAACCGTTACTGTAAATTTGAAATTATAACCTCTTTCAACAGAAAATTATCGAGTTTTCGAAAAACTTCATATACACCATTTTAAGCATTTCCAGTCACAAGTACAATAGTGTTTACAAATTGCTAGAAATCTGCATATTAAAGGCATGAGAGATCTATAAAAAAATTTACATTTGTGTAATTTTTGAAAAAAACAAATGAATGCAGCAAATTTTATTCTGTATCATCATAAACAGTGCAATTAGCACTTTCTGTTGGAAAAGTTTGAAGAAGAAATTTGAGACGTTTTAAAGAAAATGGTGTTTGAACGTTTCTGAAAATGCGGAATTTTGAGATCATTTTCACGGAACTCTTGAGTTTTCGGGAAACTTTATTTGACATTATTTAAAGCATATATTTTCATAATTCATGTAAAGAAATTGTCGCAAATGTAAATATTAACAACGTGGGGAAACGAGTAAAAAATTACATTTTTGTAATTTTTGAAAAAAGAAAAGAATAGAGTAATGAGCCGTTTATATCATCTTATAGAGGGCATTTACCACAATCCGGTCCAAAAGTTTAAAGATGAAATCTCTACCTTTAATTTTGAACATGTAGGGAGACGCCCGAAAAATTTTGAAATTTTCGAAAATTTAATGTTAAATCTGAAAATTGGACATTTTTCATCTGCATAAATGTATTTTACTCTATTTTTACAAGAAATTTAAAGAAAAAAATTGAAGACGTTTTTGGGAAAATGTTGAAAATATCCAGGGGGGTCATGTAAAGAACACTCAAATTTTAAAGATATTTTTTAAACCTCAAAGATTTGACTCGAGCCAGATTGACACGGGTTTTTTCAATTGGAAAAAATTCTAGCACTGTTCACAGACACCAGACGGGCAGACGGTCGGAAAGACAGGGAGACGGACGGACAAATGGACGTGTTGATGAATTCGATATCAGGGGGACCCGAAAACTCGTATTTCCTTTGAAATCTCGAAATCAATTTGTCGCAGCATTACAAATCTTTCTCTATATTACTCCGTATATACGTACATATACGGGAAAGTTAAAAATAGATAAATATCCATGAGTGAAGATATGTTAAACTTAAATTACACCAGTGTCGTAATTAAGATTACTAATAAGAATATGTTATTCTTAACGAAAAGCCTAACTACAGTTTATAAAACAGATGCCTAATGAAATAAGTTGGGAAATTCCCCAACAGCCACTACTAGCTTTAGTACACGACTACAAGCGGTTTTGGATCGAGGAACAGTCACAATAGCATTCCTTGTTGCACTCGGCTCCACCTCCGTCCCCGCCACACGCACCCGCCGGCGGCGTGTTCTATTTCGCCTGCGTCACCGCCCGCTCCCGCCCCGCCCCCCGCGTCGCCACCCCCCCAGAGGAGCGTCCGCGGCGGCGGGGCGACCGCGCGCTCGTGCGCCAACTTGTCGCCGAGTTGCTGGCGACAGGCGCGCGCCCGTCAGCCGGCGGGCGGCGAGCACGGGGGGGGGGGGAGGGGGCTGAGGTACCGGAGGCGGAGGGAGAGCCAGAGGCGGTGAGGGGGTGGAAGTGTTGGGGATGAGGGTGGAGTTGCTGGCGGCGGGAGAGATGAAGGATGAGTGTGGAACCGAGGTGGCGGTGCTGGTAGAGGTGAAGGCGGTGACGGCGGCGCAGATGGGGATAGGGGTTGAGGTGAAAATGGTGGTTCAGCCGTCGGCGGTGGCGGTGTAGGAAGTTGATTGATTATTTAGTGTTTCTGGGAGCGTCAACTATTTTGTCATTCGTCTTGTGAGAGGCAGGCTTTTGTCTGGGAGGTGGTACTGTTGTTCTCAAGGTGGATGGCAAAATCCGGTGCCGTCTTACTCATCGTGCTACGGGTTTCTTTCATCCAGATTATTCCCTCAACCGCCTCATCTGGGAATAATCTCTGAATCTCCTAAGAGTATGGAGATGGGGATGAGGGTGTATAGGTAAGGGGTTGAGAATAGGGCATTGAAAGGGAAAGATGGGATCCTGGCCCGTACGTTAGGGTTAAACTCCATTATTTGTCTGGTATTTGTCGGAGTCACAGCAAACTACCTATAAGAGTAGCCGACCTATAAACTTCTCCTACAGATATCGGCTGAATTCGACTTAGCTATGCAGCTAGTGTCAAAAATCCTATCTCGAGCCGTAATATCTTCAGGTCAGAGGTACTGCAGTGACATCAGATGTAACCCTGCGCCATCTCAACCGGCAGGTGGCGTCGGAGGGCGGTAGCGGTTGGCAGAGGCGGTGTGCATTGGCGACGCTGGGGTGGGTACGGTCAGGTATGAAGGTACGAAGATGGTAGCAGGGCGCGTGAGCAGGTGTGGGATGTCAGTGCGGGGGCGTGAGCGTGGACGTGAGCGGAGTGGGGGCGGAACTGCTGTGGGCATGAGCGTAGTCGCGGGCGTGGTCGGGGGCGAGAGGTGCCGGGGTTGGTCGACGGCCCCCCACCCCTCCGCCCGCCCGCGGCGCGCCAGCCGAGGGAGGCGCAGCGCTGTGCGGCGCGGAGGCGCGCGTCTGCTACTTGGCTGTTGACTCGGGGCTTCTGCGGCGAGACGCCGCGCGACACAACTTGCTGCGCGCCGCAGTCGCTGCGGCGGAAGAGCGACGTCGCATGCGGCGAAGGGTTGCGACAGTGGAATTGTACGCACCGGGGCACAGCCGTTGGCTTCCAAATTAAAATGAGCCGTCTAAGAGATATTCCAAACACCGCTTTTAAACATGAAGTGGAAGTGCTGATTTAATTTAATATTATCGTAGATATAAAAGCGTGCTTCTAACTCTTGTTACATATTAAAGAGACCCTGAACAATTAACAGAGGTTATTGATAGTCCCTGTGTTTGGTTTGCTTTGGTAGCGGATTTATGTTTATATTGATTTCTCACACTACAACCTGCCAGGGGCGATGGGAACAACATACGAGTACTTGACAGTCGTATGTTACGTTTTAGTCTTCCCGGAATGGTTACCTTGGTTTCCATTTTTACCTAGCTGTTTTTAAAATCTCTGAAGAATATTAAATAATTATAGAAAATTAATGCAAAATAGTAAAGAAAAGTTTCAATATTTACCTTTCTCTAGCTCATCAGTTGTTTCTGTAACATAAATTTGATTTTTTGTTAAAGTCTGATGAGTTTCAATTTTTTTTAAATTTCGCTTTTAGCAAACATGCATGCAAAAAAGTTCTTTCATTTCATAGTTTATGATTGATAAATAAATATTTAGTTTTGAAGGCCAAATATCATAAAGAAAAAATCCCTATCTTCTATATTTTAGATGAGGGAAGACGTCGAAATTTTATATTTTCCAAAATTCATTGTTTATCAAAAAATGATCTGAGTCTTTATGAGTGCATTGCTCTATCACGGAATAATCCAAAATGTTATTGTGGTTTTATATAAAGTACCCCTTCAAATCAAATATTCTTTTTAAATTCACAGAGCCTTGACTTCGGCCAGATTCGTAGAGGAATGTCAATTTTGGAGAAAATCGTCTGAACATATTAGGCGATAATGAGAGGTGAACGGAGAAAAACGGAAACAGTCGTTTTACCTACCACCATTTTTTTGGTATCAAGGACCCAAAAAACATGAATTTTGACTCTCCAACGTATTAGAGGAAGATCATTAGAATACACAGGCAGAATATTTATTCTTTTTTATATCAGGAACTCATGATATAAAAATTGGCTCTGGTGCCCCTTTTTTTAAGAAAAACATTATTTTCAACATATGTCACGTGTTTTTTTTAAAAAAATTTGAAGAACATGTCATATTGAGCATACGATAAATACTTATCAATGGTTCAAAATGTTAATTTTAAAAATACACACATGTTTAGAAATAATTTTACATATCAACGTAGAGTCAAATGTGATATTACTCCGGCATGTTATCATAACACACATTACAATATTATTTTCCCCCAATAATTTATTAATTTAAATTCAAATTGTGAAGAATAGCTTATATCTAAGCATGACTGCTCATCAATTTAAACATTTTATCTTAGTTTCTTGAAATACGGTGTATTGTATTCTACTCGCGAACTCAGTATAGGCACCCACGTACAATCGAGCATACTGCTGACCGAGCGAGACAGATTAACCGACACAGGTTAGCGAGCGCGACAGATCAACCGACACTTGCTAGCGAACGCGACAGATTGACCGGCGCGGATTAGCGAGCGAGACAGATTAGCCGACACAGGGATGCGAGCGTGACAGATTAACCGGCACAGATTAGCGAGCGAGACAGATTAGGCGACATAGGGAAGCGAGCGCGACAGATTAACCGACATAGGGGAGCGAGCGCGACAGATTAACCGACATAGGGGAGCGAGCGCGACAGATCAACCGACACTTGCTAGCGAGCGCGACAGATTGACCGGCACAGATTAGCGAGCGCGACAGATTAACCGACAAAGGTTAGCGAGCGCGACAGATCAACCGGCACAGATTAGCGAGCGCGATAGATTAGCCGACACAGAGTAGCGAGCGCGACAGATTAACCGACATAGGGAAGCGAGCGCGACTTGTCCGTGACTTCGGCCCCACTGTGCGGCGTGGATGACGGCGAGCACCGTCTTCGTCGTCGCCGCCGCCGCCGCCAGTTGCCTGGAGGGCGGGGCAAAGGCCGCGCTAATGACTGGGAGACGCGGCGTCTGCTGTCTAACGTGTGTTTGGAGCACCGTAGAAGCGAGCGAGCGGGCGTCGCGTCGCGTTGGCGGCGGCGGCGGCGGCGTTTGGATGCAAACGAAGGGAACGTTTGCGAGACGCGGATTTCGACAAACTGGAGGCCCTTGTAAACAGCTGAGCGTGCGCCACGCCTGTCAGAGAGAAAGCGGCACCTCAAACGCCTCGCGGTGATTTGGGGGAAGAAATTGAAACTAGTATACACTGCCGCTTGCGAATTAGGATTATTCAGAGCTAATACGATAGCTGTACAATGTTGAATAATGGCGGAAAAACTTTTGACATTCTTAGAATAGTAAAGAATGAATTATAGAATGACAATGAAATGACAGAAAGAAGTCAATTTTCTTAAGAAAGCCAACGACAGTGAGAATGGAAATGCAATAGTCTTCCGAAAGGAGAGATTTTTAAATTTTAAAACACTTCTCAAAAATTTCTCATCTTCTTATACTCTATCTTCTTATAAATTATTTTTTTAAGATTTCGGAGGTAATACTGCAGTTAGCTAATGTAATATTACATTAATTATCTATATCATGTGTAATTGAAAATTTAGATTGTTACTAACGTTCTTGGTTGAATTCAGATTAAAGTTATTAGGAATGATTACGAATTTTTAAACTGCAAAAGAATTAATGAAAGAATAACATTTCGTGTTCCGAATTCCAATAATCCAATTTTCAAAGTTAACGTAGCAACATGATAAATGTTGCATGTCTCATGTCGCATGCAGTTGCTTAACCCTGGAGCGCGACTGAAATTTACTCTCCTGAATTATTCTCAACTTTAACATGCAACGAAGAGCAAACTACGTGATAACGCATACATGAATAAATATATTTTGTAATTAAGAGTACGTTTTCATGAAACTGTTTCCCCTTTTCCGTACCACCTTTCAATAAATACCGTACATTATATACTAGAAGTACATTTGCAATCTGTGCAACAAATATTTTAAAAATAAAAACGAAACAGAAGAAAATAGTACAAAAGAAGTGTTTACTGAAAAACAGTTCTTTCACAGAAATTGTACTTACGCTTGAAGATGAACTGTATGGTATGTATCAATATTAAGTGCATTTTTAAATTTGTAATTATGTGACTAAGTACACAAAAATGTTTACTATTTGTGAATAGCTTTTAAACTTAGGAAAGTAAAAAGTTCTAAGAATTATATAGCTACAAGTTTGAAAGGTCAAACCCGATGACCCTATACTACTGATTAGTAGAGAAGTAGGAAAACTCAACCGAAACGAAACTCTCATGTTTGGTGTCATTTATCTTTAAAAGTGTCATGAACAAAAATTGAAGTACTCTTGCTGCACATATGTTATAAGTTTAGATATAGAAATATAGTAATAATAATTAGATTCACTTAACATAAATCGTTATTGAACAAATATTTCCTGATTGTGCATAAAACAGTTCTACCTCCAGTTAATTTCATTTTAATTTACTGCGAAACTTCCGTGATGAAATCCAAGTAAAACGCTCACAGTTGATGTAACACAAGGACCAGAAGGTGGACTACGCATAATTGCTAATCTGGAAGATTCAGAAAAGTTACTGAATACTGACCACATCCTCTTGAAATGTTCTAATTGTAATTCCATTTGAAATATTTTTTTCGATACTAAAAATTTTTAAATTCCATTTTAACAAACTATCCATTCTAACTCCAGGTAATAAAGTCCAATAAGAGAAAAGTACATTTCTGTTAGATTTCATTTAACCTTTATTATTTTTTTGTCTTATGTAGTTATGACTGTCCAAAAACTCGATTCTATCTATTTATATGTATGTAACATATCTTTGTAATAATTTTCTTGAATTCTATTGAACTTACTAACATTTTCTCTAATCTATTTGATACTTTAAAAACAATTATGTACCTCTAATAATGTTATAATTAATGTAAAATTTTTGAAACTAAGCGTGTTAATTCCGTAACCATTAGTCTCTAATAACCCCTAAGGATGATAGAAGTTAAAATAATGGAGGAAACAATAAAAATGTTATCGTAGTGAAGAAAATATGTTCTATTTGCGCATGAAATAGACCTCTATGACAAGCTAATTCGTAGACAACATTACTAGTCGCAAACCAAGCAGAACACTCACGGTTGGTGTAACACAAGGTCCAGAGGCCGGATACGGTGTACTTGGAGAGGTACTCGCGGTCTCCAGTGCCGTTGTAGTTGGAGTTGGCCATCTTCTCCTCGGTGTGCAGCCACTGGTTGGTGGTCATGGACACGCACACGATGACCAGCGACAGCGTGGCGGTGAGCGGCGTCAGCACCCACAGGCAGGCGACTGCGGCGTCCAAGTGGCCGGGGTTGCTCGCGTCGCCAGGGACGGCCCGGGGCATAATGCCGGCGGCGGGCAGGCGGCGGCGGCAGCGGCGGCGGCGGCGTCGACGGGGGCGACGGCGACGACGGCGGCGGCGGCGGTGACTGGTGAGGTGTCACTGCATCATGGCAAAGTTGTTGTGCTGCCACACTCAAGGGCATGTGTCTCTTTGTCCGTCGCTGTAGCCCGCCCCCGCGTTCGGGACCACGATCTACTCCCCTATATAGTTTTTTTCTTCTCTTGTTCACTCTTCTTTTTTTCTTTGTCTTCTTTGCTCTCTTTCTTTTCTCACTTCTGCGGGACACACTATTCAACGCACTCGCGAATCACTCGGGTAAGCGGTTTTCACTATGGGACGCGCACTTGTTTGGCCGACCGGAAAGTCATTTACTCCGCCCCCATGTTAATGAGTCTTTGAAATGTTTCGTTTTATACTTTTGTTTTAGAGGTTATTCCGGTTTTCATTAAATTCTCTGAATATTGAGTTACATAAAATCAACGATAAAACACATCCATTAACAATTGTAAACACAGAGTGCTTATGATTTGATAATTTTCCAAAATGTTATATCCCTTTCAATTTTATCGCTCAGAACACAATTTAGTAATAATTTTATTTGTACATTTGTTTAAAACGGGGAAATGTTTTTAATACATTGATTTTATTTCTGTATATTGTGATTTTAGGTTTTATTGCATGCAGTTCCTAATTTAAATTCTAGTTTAAATAATGTTTAAAACATATTAACTCCCCTGTGATTATCGCGATTTCGATTTTACTTCAACCATAAATGAATTTACACAGGTTACTATTAAATTATGCGCAGAAATTAAAGAGTATTTCGATAACACATTATCTGGAAACCAAGTCGGAAATCTTGAACGCTACGTCACAATCACGTACAACATTTCTTCTTGGCACTCAACAACTACTCGGTGACGGCGTCATCCAACGATCCTTTGCGACGAACATTGAGAACACAAAGGAACAAAAGAACACGTAGCCAGCGGCGAGCTCAAGATACAGTTCCTCTTTGTCTCTTCAACAACTTTTTAACATTCATCATCGTTCCTGGAAGCAGCACATGCTGGATGTCGGGTCAGCACATAGACTCACTTGACGTTCTCGTTCGCTGACAAGTCGGTATGCAACACGACAAAGCGATGGGCGAAAACAGCATGATGATTCGTGAACGACGGGTGTTGAGCGTGGGGTTGAAACCGTCTTCAGACCGATCATGTGCCCCAGGTAATGTTATCGAACAGTGTGGTTTGCCACTGTGGGCAACTGTTAGTGATGAAACTGTTCTATGAAAATTGTGTGATGTTCTCCGAAAAGAGGAGCTTTGATTGGGATGAAGTAAGATTGTCCAGGTCCGACGCAATCGGTCGACAGCCTTCACCGCCGCCGGGAAGCGACTTGCGCGCTCCCAGCGGCCAACCCACGAACCGAGCGCACCCAGGAGGCCATGACCGACGAACAACAGACGAGCGCGCGTTACGCGGCGAGCGGGACGCGCGGCCTCCTGCGCGGGTGGGCGGGGCCCGACGAGTTGGCGAGCGCGGGGGCGTGGGTCGTGAGCGCTACCACGAAGCCGTCTCGCCTCCGCGGGCCGGGCGACGGCGGCAGCAGGTGCGGCGGCGGGGGCGGCGGCGGCGGCGGGCTCGGCTCGGCCAGCGGCGACGCCCGCGACGACCCTGCGGCGGCGTTACTGCTGCTGCTGGCGATGTGGTCGCCGGGTCTGGCCAGAAAGTCGCGCGACTGCGGGAAGAGCAGCAGGAAGTCGTAGGCCAGCAGGAGAAGCGACAGCAGCACCGGCAGGAGAGACGTCGTGGCGATCATCGCGGCAAGGCGGCGGGGGCGCGGAGCTCGGCGGCAGAGGCGGCGGCAGCGGCAGCGGCGGGGGCGGCGACGGCAGCGGCAGCAACGGCGCGGGCGGGCGGCAGTGGAGGCGGCGGCAACAGCAACAGCGAGACTCGGGAGCACCTGCGAAAAGAAAAACGGCGCTGCATACGTCGCTCGCGATTCGCTTTTGTTTTGGCGGGCGCGCACACGGGCAGGGAGACGTGTGTCACGGCCGTGTGTGGCTGCGCCCGCGCCACCGCCTCCATATTTCAGGCGGGAAATAGCTTTAAATGTAGTATCTAGCCGATTGTACCTCCAGAAATTTAAAAATGTGTATGTTTGAAAACGTATAATTCAGTTCTTCTGTTGTTTACATATTTGAACTGTATATTAATTTGTAAATGTGTTCGTAATACTTCATTTTCGATTTCATGTGTACTATGTGAGAATATAATTACTTATTTGTTCTAGATAATCTAAGTAAATATTTAAGAAAAACATTATAAAGCAAATCACAGAAACAGAAAACAATTGTGTTTACTAACGCTACTTTCGTGTAGAAAGCAAACATTTATCAATACAATTTCTTCGATTTGACTATACTTATCAGCATTCTAATTAGAGAAATGCAAACTAGGTGTCAATGATCCCCTCCTGGCTGGTGTATCACAAGGTCTGTATTCGGGTCACAGAATATTTGGAAAGAGAAACAGCATTACAAACGTCTACGGCGACTCGTTTTTGTTTCAGCGGCGGGCAAGCGCGTGTCAGGTCCGTGTGTGGCCACGTCCGTGTCCCGTGTATTATTCAAGAGGCGCCTAGCGTCTGCCCCTCGGCGGCGGCGAAGGCGAGAGAGATAGAATGGAATGCAAAGCTTTGCTGGAAGGTTGTTTCACTGCGAGAGGTGAAATATTTTGCTTTATTTATTTATAAATTTTACAAACTAAGATGGCATTGAGACTTCTCTAATCATACTAAGGCAACTGCGGGGGCGTTATTAAATCTACTGAGAATAAAAACAAACTTATATGAATTTTCTGAAGAATACAAGTTTATATGAATAAATAATACAATAAAATACCATTTATATTCCCTCAAGTGACCAGTTCACATATTACATTTGTATATTTTACACTGAGAATACAAAATTTATACCTAGTTGAAGAATTTCCTTGAACAGAACTACGTTGTGTTTTATAAACCGCTTTAATGGAATCATTCAGTGTGTATGTATGTATCAGTCGGTATATCATTTTACTGGTTTATTAGTGCCAGAGGGTTTATGAATGCCACGTCAGAATATGGTAATATAATTTTACTGGTTTATTAATGAGTAACAAAACTACTAAGTTGAAAACCTTTTAAAAATAAGTTAACAAGTATATCATAAATTGATTAATTTCATTTTACTTCAATGTTTTCCATTGAATAGAATAATTACTTGGTTTCAGCGATCTGTAGCGTTGCTTCATAAATTGTTTTGGTCGTGAATTCTTGTTTTATTTCGTGAGCTGACAATATCGAAGATATACTCGGAGATCTAACGTTCGAAGGCTGCAATTTTGGCTGAAAAAATACGAATTTTATTTTAATATACTCTTCAAAATTGCAGATATGTATACCATCCAGGAGCAACAGCAGCATATCTTAACGTACAGTGTTTCACCATCAATTGGCAGAGGTGTGAATGAACGATTTCTGCATTTTAATATAAGATTAAAACTCGTTTATTTCAACTCTTGTCTTTTTAGCTGTGTCACTATTGCATCCCACGAACGATATGCTAAAATTAGTGGAAATTAGGGTAAATGAACCAGCTTATGTCAGGTAGACTCTAAAGCAAAAAAATGTGTTCATGTCATAGAAACGAACGATATTCAGAATTGTAGAGCATGTGATGAATGTATAAAACCACCCATATTGATATTTTACATTGAAAAAATATTATATATTTACTGAAGACAGGTCTTCAATTATGATGTCCGTGTATTTATTAAAAACTTCGTGGTCGTGAACATTTTGCAGAAAATACACGGCAAATATCAAAGACAAACAAAATTGTTAATTATTTTTTACTACCTTAATAAACACACATCAAAATTTGCAGTAAAAAGTGAATACTGAATTAATGACAATTATTATGAAATATTATCATATATGAAATCATTTTACGAGAAACGTGAACATTCAAAATAACATGCTGCCAAATTTTGTCAACTTGCTATTATTAAGAGTAAACGTAGTGACCCAAATGCCAATATGTGCTAGATGATTGGAACAGTAATCGAGTCACGCATTATTTGAAATAAGTAGTGTATGAATTATTTTTACGAGTAAGTGTTGGAACATTTCCCTGCCCTTTAAAGAGAACTAATGATAATCAACATACGACTGATGATAACAATTAATTACTTACATATGTGGAGTTCAATGGAGCTGCCTAATGAAGATAAGAAGAGTGTGAACAGAATATAATTTAATTGCATCATACATAACTTCAATTATATGTTTTTTATTAGTAATTCGTATATTTTACACAATAAAGGTACAAAATCATTGTGTAAACTGAAAGTTAACGATTGGAACGCGGGGGAGATCGACTGATAAAAATATATTAACACAAAAAAGATTTCTCAAAATAAGAATGAATTAAAATTCTATGCAGGGCGGAGTAGTATTATTACTTAAACTAAAAAATACGATCCGATCGAAGAAATAGTACACCTATTTATATGAGAGGGGGGAATAAAAATACAAACAATAATATAACGTACCCTTTAATTTTAGTTGTTTTTTTCATTAGTGAAATGCTTTTACTAATTGCTTTTTGCTGAAACGTTTACGAAACACTCACCTTGACGCTATGTTTACATTGCGTATTCGCTCAACCAACGTACGGCTATTGCAATGGCGCTGGCCCACAATTTGCGTGGATTATTGAAGTACTGTTTAACGTTTCACTCGCATTGGTGTTCATTGTTGAGTACGTAAACAGCCAACTGGCATTTAACACCCGACAAAGGACTCGCCGAAAAGAACGCAACGCAATTCACCGCGATCACTTAACCAATTAAAAGCCAAATTTTGCGTCACTTCGGACACTCCGCAAATGCTCTTTTGACCACTTCTTTCTTTCTCTTTTTTATTGACGTTACCGCTGACCACTATTGTGT